TTTTAAGAAATAAAGAAAACAAGAAAAAATTTATTGCCATGCTTATGATTTTTTTTCATGAAAAAGGAGTAAATGCTTATCAGGCTGAAAGAGATGCAGATGTGATGGTTTGCTTGACAGTAGTACAGTTTTGCTCTAAACATAAGTTTGGGACCCTTGTATCAGAAGATACTGATAATAATGGTTTTAGCACTACACCACTGCATCCAAAGCAATTTGTATCTACTTCGTCCTGCCAAAGCAGGGACAAATCATAGAAATACTTTTATTTATTTATTTATTTATTATCCATCTCTTGTTCTGGGCCCTTAACAGGCATGCGCCCAATTACAGAGTGACCAGCATAATGCTATTAAAAAAATACTTACAAAATGAGAACTGTCATGCTGCTGTCACTTTTAGAAATCACAACCCTAAATTTCGCCCCCTACCGGCCAAACGATTAGAGATAGCTAAATTCTGTTTGTGCCGGTGTTTTTCTCTTTAAAATTGAGCTCCTGACATCTAGCTTCATTTTTTTCTATCTCTTAAAATAAAGGGCGTAAGAAAGTGTCTAATTTTGATCACCCTGTACAGTATGACGTGAAGACCCAAACTGATGGTTATCAATCCGGGGATTTGGTTTGGTTGAAGGCATGGATGACGTTTGAGCATTGTGAGACACTGAAACATAGAAATCTGTTGTATAAAAAATTAAAGAAAAATCCTGAAAATTTAAAATTAAAACAGCGCTTTCCGTCAGTCTCCTTAAAGCTGAAACAATATATCCAAACTCAAAAAAGCAACTATTATTTTAAACTTTTTGAAACCAACAAGGATGACACCAAAAAACAATGGCAAACTGTAAATGTCATCTTAGGTCAAAGAAATGAAAAAAACTGTATTATGAAAAATGAAACTCCATACATATTGATATATGACAACCTAGAGATTGCAGATGAATTCAATCACTTTTTCACCACTGTTGTAGGCAGGCTTTTGAAAAATCTTGACTTGATGGTTTAAATATGTGCACATACAGGGAGGCTTTCTCTTCAATACATGTCAGTAGCTCTTTCCTACTCTTGCCCACTTGTAAATTTGAAGTCTCCGATATTATAAATAATTTGGCGAATTCCTTCCTTGAAACGTTCCAGATCTTTTCAAACGTTTTCGCAAACCTTCTCTCTGGAATGTTCCACTGTCCACTGCATATGTAAATTTGACCTCAGTTCCTACTTCGATGCTTTCTTGTTATGTTATAGATTGTAAGTGATAAATTGCAATTACCGTAATAAATTAATCTATTTTAAGATGCTGTAAATTTATCGTTAATTAACAGTGAATAAATAAAGGACAAATTAAATTTACATTACATTATCTTTCCAACTGGGGCTCTTATGAGATGTACCGCGTATAATAATCATCTGCGAAGTAGAAGCTTTTTGTGTACCTTGTAGTATGACTAAAGTAATTAAAATTGCATTTCACAAATAACTTTCTTTCTCATACTTTTACAGAATTCGCGTAAATGCAACAGAAACTCCATTGTTATTTTGAAGAATAAATATGTTTTCAATGTGGATAGTGGATGAACTTCCTCAACTTTACAACTGCACTTTTGTAGATTCGAAATTGGAGTGGTAATAAGTTTCGACTACGTGATGAACTCGCTATTGTAATTGATTTACTGCATGACAGTGTTGTACGCGCATCTCTTACGTGGATTATTACTCGTATTTACATGAGACTTCCAATTTAACAAACCGTGTAGCTTCATACAAGCTACCTGTTTCCATTTTGATAAAACCATTTTCAATGCCTTTTCCCTTTATTCAGTACCAGTTTATTGTTTAATTATTTTATCGGGGATTATTCTCGTCAGAAGTTTTCTGAAACTACCTCGTAGATCTCCATTTTGATTGGAGGTATTTGGTGGCCAGCGCGGTCAGAAGCACTTATATCCGCAAACAACGCCACGGCGTTTTTACAATGGGCAAGTTCGTGATACAAAATATTAAGTTTTTTTGCATGATGTTAACGTGGTAGATTTGTCCTGTCGATAAGCAAACTGATTTGAAGATAATATTTTATTATGCTCTAGAAAATTGAAAGCAGTGCTTTATATAGTATTAATTACGTATTTTTTTTTACTATGAATGATCAATACTTTTATAAAATATTTAGTGGAGGGGATGACACCATTGAAAGTAAGAGTAATTGCCCCGTGCTTCAATGCCACTCTTCGTATAGTTGAGGGATTACTATATGTATTTGTATTCCAATACTTATTTTATTTTTATCTATTCCATAATTATCCCTTCCATCACAGGCTTAACTGGTTTTAGGACGTTCCTTAAGCTTCCCTGTCACTTCCTTGATGCTGTTGTCTTGTAGTTGCATGATTCATAACTATTCGCTTTGATCAATTTAATACTATTTATCTTTAGACTCGCTTCTTCTACCTCTCTACTCTCTTCGGATTCCATTCGAACTCCGCTTCTGTGTTTAACTTCGAAGTCAAATTATTGAAGTTTCAAGAGCCATCTTGCAACCCTCGGACACGTGTCCTTTTTAGTCATCGACATATTTAGCGAAGCGCAGTCAGTGATGATCGTAAACTTTCGTCCCAATAAATAAATACGAATACCCCATCAATAACAATTTTTCCACAAAGCCTCTAAAAAATCCACAAAGTCCTAGAAATTGTCATATTTCGTGTACGTTCTGAGGCCTAGGAAGTAGGAACTATACATTTCACACGTTTAGGAGGCTTCTTTGTAGGACGATTGTGGGACAGCATGTAGATCTTTTATTTTCATAAGTGACTCATCACTTTTTTCCGCGTTCTTCGGTCAATAACGTAAATTCTCATGGTATATTTAGCTTTCATTTCATTTTCTACCGTATAAATCTATCTTGGACACTCCATATCCGCAGATTGGTTCCTTTAAGGATATTATGATTACGTCAAATATGCATCATGCGGTAAACTCTTAAAGATAACCGACAATTCAAATTCAAAAAAAATTAAAATAACTTACAGATATACGGCCCTTCCTTGAAACAGGCTCCTTCCAAGAAAAAGCAAATACTGGATCGCTTTAGAGTAGTATAACTGAATAAAGTTGCATCTGGTAGCATGAAAGCTTTCAGGATAGCGAAGCTTGTATTAACCTCGACCGCGTTCAAAACTTGCGTCAAATACGTAAATCGAGTTGTTGTTTATGCACAAGAATAAAAAGCCAAATTCCAACTACTCAGCACACGCTAATTTGGCGCTTGTGTAGCTAACTCTTCTGCTTTTTCTACAGTGAGGTTTTCCGTGCGCATAAGGGAGGGTAATAATTCATTTTGGAAATTTTTGTGAATGCCTATCCTGAATTGATTCATTGGAGTTTTGTCTAAAAACGTCTTTTTGTGTCTCTGAAGTCACTAGTTAAACATCATCAGTAAAATCTCGTGCCCTATACTTTTTAAACGCGTTCATCGTGTCTCTGGTAACTTTTGGATACTCTAATTAACGCCTCTCCAGGAATTTTTGGCGGAGAAAATTTTTTAATGAAAGTATGTTTGCGTTCGTCATATTTTTGATCTTTTAATTTATCATCACCCAGAAAAATGTGTAGGCGTCGCCTGAAAGTCTATAAATTGGGATGTCTAACGTCGATTTCCTACGTCCAATTGTCAAGTCATGCCCTTATCTCGAGTTTGCGAAAATATTCTTTAACATTCCTCCCATCAAAACGTTCGACAATGGTTGTAAATAACACAGTTGGCGTGACTGTGGTAAAAACTGGATTTGGGGGTGATGTTGCGTTTTCGCCGGCGTTCAAATTCGGATATAGATCTGTCTTGGGCATTTTTTCTTTATTTTTAGTTCTGATAAAATCTGATTATTATAGTTTTTCCACCTTTTGTGAAATCTATACACGCGGTGAGGGGTAGGTAATAACTGGGTTGATTTAACCCACCTAGCGAAGATGAATTAAAATTTTTTTCAATTGCGGACGTACGCGCCCCTGTCTTATTGAACACCTAAGGGGTGTTGTTTAACATGTAATTGTAACGCTACTTGGAATGCTTGGGAGTGCCTAGGCTCTATACACAATACATACCAAAATGTAATTACCGGAGAATAAAATTTGTTCTTAACTTAGAAAATTACAAGTAAATTGGGGACTTACCCCTCCTTCTGAACTACTACCTGCCAAACCACTAACTACTGGTCGTTTTTCTAGCTCAAGAGGTGCCTCAATCTTCTTCCCGCACGATAAGCAATTTTCCAATACCGACACCCCTTGGCTAATTCTATTTGTACCACATTCAACGTTGCAGTTTTGCACTTGTTACGAAACTTATTTGATTTTTTTTATTTCTCCTTTATAAGCCCTGCGTTATACTTGTTATTTGAGTTTTCTTGTGAGAAAATGCCACCTTAAATACGATTAAGGCGTCTCAGATTGTTTAACTACGACCCAGTTTTGTTTATGCCACGACGTATTGTTTTCCTGGGCACGAAACTGCTTTGCGTACTTTTCCTCCGACGTTTTATTTGCACAAGCTTATACACGCATTTAAAGTATGACCCTACTCCAATTCAGACCCACGAACGATTTATGTTTCTTTTCCGCGATTTACAAAACTTTACACGGAAGATTTTATATCCTCCAGTAAGCTTTGTTTGCGACGATATCTGTAGGCACTTGGAAACGAGTAACGCTTCACTGTCATTAAGCACGGTAATCTTGAAACCGACACCTTCTTGCGACCAAACTCAAGATGAATCTCTATGATCGAGGAACTCGTTTCTCTTTCTAATTTTCTATATATAGGTACCAAAGTCCGCAGACGAAACGGACCCAAAGCAATTACCACGATGGGCCACGATTATATCCTTTACTGTAATAAAAAATGTGATTAAACTATTGTTATTATAGTTTGATTGGTGAAAATGTATATTTATATGCGGCATCCACTCCACAACTACGTTATAATAACACTTTCTCTTTCTGTTGCAGACAATCCATCCAATTAACTATAATAGAAGAAGATAGTTACGAGAAAGACGTATTGTTTTATGTACAATTAGGAGAACCGCAACTGTCAGGTGGTAAGATTTCTAGTTCATGGCGTTTTTCTTGTTAGTCTCATTTTTCCATGTCTACTTATTCATTTCCATCTATTCTCTGCTCTGCACTCTTCTCTTCGTTGCTGCACTGCATGCTAAGTAAGTAAAACATATTTTTTTTGTTTTATATTATTATGGCAATATTGTTTGTAAAACTAAAGGTTCTAACAATATGCTTTTAACATTTTTAAATTGTTTGCGCCGATTTCTTCTCCTTTATTGTCTTTTCAATTTGAACGGACGCATAAGTACACAAAAACTGTATTGATCTATTTTTGCTCGAAGGTTACGAATATTGCAACGATGAGGGGGAAGCCCTTTAGTTTGATGACTCATTCGTTGCAAGTAATGAGTAAACTGTGTCCGTCTGCACCTTCTCTCTGTGGGGACTGACTGAAACTCTGTAGAATATTTACTTACCAAATGCAATTTGGGACTATGATATAGCTTGGCATGCCTTCAATAATCTCTTAGCGCTAGGGATGCAATTAAAAAACACCCCAATTTCCTGAATTTTAAACGGTAATCTTTTAGAATTCGTTTTGTTTCCAAATGGATACATTCCACACAAAAGCTGCAAACATGTTCTTTGTTATAGGAAATACGTTAAGACGATCACGATGCCACTATTAGTAGTCCCATCAATCGTAAGGAATAAGAAACATGTTTTAAAATCTAAAAGCAGAGAAAAAGCATGTTTGCAACCTCAATATGGAATACTTTTGTAAATGAAACGATCAAATTAAAAAATTACCGTTTCAAATTGAGGAAATTGCTAATCTAAAGTGAATTCTTCCATTTTCCGTGACAACAAGATGTGATCGTTACCTATCCTGGCAAATTTTCTAACGTTATCAACCGAAAATCCTTCTAAGGGTGCAAACAGATCAAGTTTGGATTCTTAACTGTAGGGAAATTTGAGTTTAAAAATGAACTAAAATTAATTAGCTTTTAAAAATCGTATAAGAAGGGAAGTAATGCAAATGTCCAGTATTTTTACATTTTAAATGTTCTTTTTAGCGTGCGTGTATTCAGAAATAAAGGTTTCTAGGGTTCCATTCTTCTTTGAAAAGGACAAATTGCTCAGTACTGGAATGATAACAAGTAACAATTTAATTTAATTACATACTAATCCACCGATTCTCATCGTTTCAGACACTGCCACCTCTTTTTTAGTAATTTTGCGGACCCCCCCCCCCCAAGCTAAGCTAAAATTGTTAATTAATGGACCCATGAATTTGGCAGACTTAATGAAATGCTGAAGTCAATCCAAGTCCGGAACCCTGAAAGTCATGTTCGATTTACGTGAGTACAACTGCATTTGCCAACCAGTGGTTGTAAAGAAATAGGAGATACTAAACATGTTTGAGAGCGACCCTACCACTAGAAGAAACGTACCTACACTCAAATTTTGGCATAATATCGGTGGTCGCAAAGTTATAGATGTTTTACTTACTCAAACAGAACGAGGGGTGGGGGAGGGGGGAGGTAGTTTTCTTTTCGAATGTCCGAAATGTAGTGAGAAAGCTAATAACTGTAATTCAAATTACAGAAACAAAACAAATGAAATACATTTATTATGAGTAAACAAGAAAATCAAACTCTCCTACAGGCACTTAAATAATACAAATACCCAATGAACAAAAAATATTCCTGCTGGCCAGATAATTTCACCAGGTATAGTAAACAATATAGCTAACGATTAATTCTAAATAAACTAATCGATTTTGTTTATTCATTGTTAACTCGAATAAGATACAAGAAATAAAGATAAAAATGCGTACCTTTTTGTTCTTTCCGTATGTAATTATCTCCTATTCTCGGTTAATCCAAACAAACCGGCTTCAGTTTCGCGAAAGTAATACTCGAGATCGTGATTACTTATGCACAGAAATAAAATGCCAATGTTTCTTTGTGTTGCTATTAAATTTTGACCAATTAATTAAGCTAGTTATAGATCTGGAATCTCCACCCACGAAAGTGTCAAACCGTGTCTTCGAGTTCCAATTTGTAAAAACTACTATTCATTAATGAACGGCTTTGCTACAAATTAGGATACCTTTCAATTTTTTATATATAAATTAAAGCTGCAAGTTGCAGCACGCACTTTGTCGCCAATTTATCACAAGGAGGTCCTTAACGATGCGATTGAAAAGAAATACCACTGACGTTTTTGTTTGGAATTTTCCACTCAAAATAAAAACTGGCAACACTAAGATAGTACCTAACCGCTCGCAAATATGCGAAATAATAACATTCTCACAACGAAATAATACGTGCGAACTCTTTGAAAGGCAAACCTCGTATACTATCTAAAATCTCCGCGCATACACGGTCGCTTTTTATTTTCAGACGTACTTTCGTTCGTGTTCGCTATGAAGCGGGCGCATGTATAAATTTTCCTATGCTTACCAAAATACAACTCAAACCCAAATTTTCGAAAACGACTAAAGCGACATTTTTCCCTTCCCCGCCGCCTTAATTCTGCATTTGCGCACATACACGCTTTATCTCTACATTCCATGTTAAAAATAACTTTGCTAACGATATAATATGAATTTCCACAACTTACATACATACGTATTTCCTGCTAGTTAGCAATAAAAACGCAATCAAATTTATATTGGAAATAGATTACACGTTACATATGATATGTAGAAGTTCAATATACGTAAAAAAATATCCTGCATTTCTTTAGAGATTTAGAAAAACGCTAAAATAATTGCTGAACAATCCGTTTCATATAAGTTCGAAAATCATGGTCATGTAAGTTCTGAAAAACCAAGGGTAAAAAAACTTAAAAAGTAAAAAAACACCCCTATTAATAAGCATTATCAAATGGTAATTCCATACAAATTATAATTCTAAACAAAATAAAAATGAATAGAAGCCAATTAATTGCATTATAAAGCTCGAATGTGAAACTGAAATTCGTATCAACAAAATCTATCTGTTTCGTAAACAATTCCAAATAAACAAGAGCGCTTGTTTATTATTTTATTTAAGCAATTATATGGGCTTTCGTAGATGTTTGTGTATCTCAGGTTTCCAATTAATTATATCCTATTATTGCTCTTACCGTGGAAGATCGATACATTTTTGCTCGAATAAACCGCGTACCAGGTAAGTAGAATACAGAAAGCAAATGCCTTTATTGTATTTAATCACCTTCAAATGTTCTGGGCCAACCTTTTATGTTACTGTTAAACCTATCTAACAGAAATTCGCTTTTAGGTGAAACATGAAATTGTATTTAATCGCTATGAAATGCTCTTTAGAATCCTGCGAGTTTCTTAAGATTTATTTGTTATTTATCATATACAATGTGTTCGAGATAAGAGGATCACCTCAATATTCCTTTTAATTGGCGAGTTTTTCAAAGTTTATGTTTTTTAACAATCAATTTGCTGTACGACAACGTGAAATATACAAAGAAATGTATAAAAAGCTCAAGGAAACTGTAGATTCGTGTAGCTAACTATCTACGTCCATCACTATCGGTCATACGCTATAGAAAATGGAATTCCTCAGCGTTTCCGTACCCTTAACTGTGTTGAACGAGAGCTAAATATACTATCAATTATATCATAGAAAGTGCAAAAAGTATTGGTTTCTCATTCCTCTCTGAAGAACGACTATATGCAATTCTTTTTTACCAACAGGTATCTGGTATTGCATTCAATTATTGCAATCAATCTGCCAGACCGTAATTTGAAAAAAAGGCAATAAAGGAGTAGGTAATGCAAGGTTTGTGCCGCTAGCGCGCTTGAGCCTTACTTTATTTATTACAAGTCTCTCAAATTATTATAATTTCTATTCTTAATTTTTATATCTTTCAGATTGTTTAAAAGTAAAAGAAAAGCATATTTTATCACTCAATTGATTTCTATTTAGATGACGAAGTAGCAAGTTTAGCAGCGGAAGCCGAAAAGAAAAGGGCGGAAGATCGAACCGAACGAGAGAAACTTGCTCTATTGGGAAAGCCACGTTGCGGTGATATCACACGAGCGCAAATACGCATAAAAGAGAGTAAAGAATTTAAGGTAAGTTTAAATGTCCTTTCTTAAATTAGTTTAAACAGTAGCCAGGCAATTGCATTTACTTCAATTTTCATGAAGTCACGTTCAGAATAAATGATTACCACTTTACCCTCTAAACAAACATTTCAAACGCTATAAAATTCCGTTTATAAACGTACTAAAACATCGAAGTTGGCTGGTCAGAAATAAGTAATAAAGCACCCAATTTTCCGTATAATGCTCGGATCTGGGATCTACCGAAAATTTACCCTAGATCTAATTCATCAATAAGGAGGTGACGGGCACTCTGGTCATCTCGCCTAAAAAAACACTATTGTTAATCTCCAAAGGTTATAAATGATTTATGTAACATCACCACTAGATTTCCCTCCCTAGCCAAATGAATAAATAATGCTAACTCATTCATTTTAAGTTCCTGGGTGAAATGACAGCATCGGCAGGGTCATAAAGTTGACAAGTTGCGTCACAGCTCATTATAGCTATAGCAGGAGTGCTGGAGCCGAGTTTTAGTAGTCAACAGGAATGCGGACAAACCTTAACGATAAAATGTTCCTATACTAGGAGACACTAGGTTTTTACGTTGGCCAACACTAATGTAAGGGATTCGGAAGGTAGAAGAGCGAATGTAGCTTTTTTTTTGTTAACGCCTTCTGGAAAATGTCCCCAAATTCCATTTAATCGTTGACAAGCCAAAGGGGAAATAAAGCATTGCAAATGATATTGGAAACACAACAACGAGCGTTCTGGAATTTTATCTTCTGCAAATTCTATAACGCGTCTCTCTCTTCGGATGAATTCTGGACTAAGTCTCCCTAAATTCAATCTAATATTATAGCCAAATCGTGAACGTGTTTCTGTAGGTACTTAAAATTAAAACAAATAAACTGAGTAAAAACATAAGTTTCTGGTGTATTACGTTTTTTAAACTGTAATAGAAAGTGTTGACGGTTAATCACAGAAAACGTTGGGTCGGCGCCCCATTTCTCCATAAGCGTCGTAGTGCACTGGGGAATTGAAGTTGAACGCGTCATAGCTACTAATGTAATTACACCCACTGTACATTGATTTTAATTCCGCTATCGTCTTTAATTGGATTATAAGGACGAAGACTATATGCATCTCCCTCGTGTAGCTGTCACTATTTGAGTCTACGAGTATACTTATTTTGTTTCGTGCTATATTTTATCTCATTCTTATACAGGGTGTAATTTAAAAAAACGCCTTGTCCGAATTTAATGCAACAAAAACCATATTCAATTACTGTAAAAATACTACACCACGGCCATATCTAAAATATTTTAAATTATTATTTTCGACTTATATATTTTAAATGGCATGAGTAGGTACTTATATTTTTTTAATTGAATTTAATAGAATTTGTCCAGCTAAATTCAATCATGAATATCAAAGTTACTTTTGATTGGAATTTTTCACACAAACAATTAAAAAATCTAATTTTTCAAAATTTTGTAGCATGCCATAGAAACAGCCTTCTTTTCATATCGAGTGTAACAGAAATGGTGATAATTTTTATAGTATGCCATGGAAAAACATTAGACTTCAGTATGGTTGCTGGTTTAAATTTTTTTAAGGGATTTTGCAAGTGTATTTCGAGTGCAATAAAAACCGCGGGCAAGCAGTGCGTCTGTATCGCGAACGATTCCGCAATCGAGATCCACGCAAGTGTGCTGGGCTGGAAGAAAACATGAGCTTATGGTTCCTTTAAAAAACCGAAGAGAGAGGAGCGCCATTTTTTAAATATGGACGTGGAATTGAAAGAGAATCCACAAAGTTCTACTTCGGAAATCGCAGCAAACATTTGGACACCCCAGCAAACAGTTCATGCGGATTTAAGACGACATAAAATGAAGTCGTACATGCCGCAAAAAGTACTATGTAAATCAATTGCAACAAGATCCACTGTTTTTTTAGAAAAAATGGTCACGTGAATGTGTATTTAGTAACATAATCGAGATATTCATCGAAATTGGAGCTGCGAAAATCGGCGAGTTATTGTGGAAACGTAACTTTCAGCGAAGATTTAGTTTAAATGTGTGGAGCCATTTTTTATTTATGGAACTCTCAACCAACAACAGTACCATGACCATAGGTACTGAATGGCAAACTTCGGGATTTTTTGGAAGAATTACCTCTTGCCGAATTAGATGTGTTGTAGTTTCAACAAGACGGGGCCGCACCACATAAAGCTCTACAAAATGTAAATTTGTTACACCACCATTTTCCGGCAAGGTGAATTATAGAAGTGGTTAGAGTAATTCGTAAGTGCCAGTTGTGCACTGAACAAAATGATTGCATATTTGAACAATTTCTGTAGAATGAACAGCATTTTAATATTGTGGTTATTTATAGAAAATGTTTGTAGTAATGGAGTCATACTGTTTGCTCGCGATTCCTGTTCCACGCGTAAAGAGGATTGTTTCCATGGCGCGCTACAAAATTTTGAAAAATTGGCTTCTTTAATTTTGTGTGTGAAAAATTCCAATCAAAAGTTACTTTGATATATTAATCATTGAATTTAGGGGGACAAATTCTATCAAATTCAATTAAAAAAACATTTAAGTCAACTATTAGTAGCCCCCGAAAATAACATAATGGCATTTGCATTATTGCCGGTTTGCAGTTATTAAATATGGTTTTTGTTGCGTACAGTTCCGACAAAAACTGTAGCTTGTGGCGTTAGTTAGTAGTGCACTTTCACTTTCAAAAAATAAAAAGTGTACTTTTGCACACTCTGTCTGTCTCTCTGCCTGAGTCACAAAGGCTACGGAACTACACCACTCACAGACTTGGTATTGGTGTCATTCGATCAGAAATTAAAAATTATTTCATGTTTGTATTATCGTTAAAACACCAAATGTCCATAAGGGCTATTAAAATCGAAGAAAACAAATTTAAAAGTGCATTCTTCGCGTCTTGCTCACAATCGGCTTAACGAATTTTTAGATTACACCCTGTATTTGCGACCTAATTTCATATTTGTGACCGGATTTTTACAATTTTAACAAAAGTTGCATCTTACAAATAGGAAATGAATGCAAGTGGAAATGCGCTTTATGTAAATCGTTTACGATTACTTTTTAACTTGTTTATGTGTTCTTTTTCTATATTTCCCACATTTCTATCTATTTACGTTAATTTTACAATAACGTACTACCTTCTTTGCAACCTCTAATGCTCGAAGTTACCCCTATTGGTTACACTAGTTTGGTGGAAAAACTGCTTTTACGTATAGATTAGGTGGTGGAATATTAAGAAACGTTCCCGTGCTTACTACTTGTTTCATTGTTTTAGGTAGATGATCTACCTATTGTAATAGTACCAGTATATTTATAGGTTTATACAGTGCTATTTATTAAAAAGTAGACATACGGATTTACGTGTATTGTTTTTCCCTATGTCTACTTTTAAACGACAAAATCCTTCTGAAGGGCGCCTAATTTTATGCAGCCAAATTAACTTCTTAAATCAAATAAAGATCGGATTGTCATATTAATTAATATGAATATTATTTCTTTGGTTTCACAGAAAATAAATCCCTTACGCTTCATAAACTGTTACCGCCACTATACCAATTACGAATTAACAATATCAACATTTTCTTCAGTTGAATACATCACACATGAACGAGAATAGACATACGGAAGCCAAAACGGCATTATTCATAGTTATTTATGCATCAAGGGCATTAAGGCGATACTTATGCCGAGGGCGATAGAGCCCGAGGGTCTCCGGCCCGAAGGATTGTAAGTCGCCCGAAGATTAAATATTGAGTAATGCCCGAGGTGCATACAAAATTTTATTTTTCATCGTTCTAAACAATGCATTTCCAATTCCTCGTTTACCAGGTTCGCTGCCACCTTCTCCCCGGTATCTCTACTACGTCTTCCAGCTCCCCCGCCTGTTCCCTGTCCTTTTCTTCTGTCGGCGCTGTAAACTCCACCTCTACCTCGTAGTCCCCCAACAGGCACATTGCTACCTTTTGCAACAAATCTTTATCTTTTTCATTACACATTTCTGAGTAAGTACTTTTCTTCTATTCTCTCTTGCGTAAGCCCTCCATCGCCATGGACATGCCTTCCACCTTTCTATATAGTCTTATAGTATGCTCTCCTTATCACAGGTGGGCGGGTGGTTATCGTCTGACTTAATTATTTTCGTTCAGGTTCGCTATAAAGCGGTACATGTGTAAATTTCTTAACATGTAAATTCGAAAAATTACCCACACCTTAACCCATTAACGCCCAAATTTATTTTTTTTCAAATTTTTACTAGATGGGTCTGAAAACTGGTGGCATTTTAGGTCAAAAGTACTAAGCAATCAAAATTTTAAATTTTGGTAAAGCCATTTTTGAGAAAAGGGCTGTCCTCATTTGAGGACATTGGGCTGATGGAAATACAAAACATTGAGGAAAATATTTTTTTAATAAAAAAGCAAATCAAAACATATTTTTAAAAAATGCATACAAATGCCCTAAAATAAAATTGTTATCTACGGTTTTTTATGAAACTCAAAAAAACAATCTGGAATGCCCAAAGTAACATTACATTTCTGGCAATATGTTGTTGGTTTGCTAGAACAATTTTGCTGTTGGCATCTACGTTGCCTCTCACGTTTGCCGACATGATGGTTTTTAGTTTTTTTGAAGTACTTGCTGTACTCATTGGTCTTCCTCGCCTTATCCTTGTACCAGAACCAAGTTTTAAATATGTATAGGCAATTTGCCTACGAAATCATTTTATTGGCATTGTTTCTGAATGTGTCATGTTATATTATATAATATGACTGTTCACACCTGACATGTCTATTACACGAGTAAACAGACACCAATACCATTTTTTCCCTTTTATTGAGATATTGTGTTTGTCCAGCAGCCAATCATGGTGATCAATACCCCCCATGTATAATAAATACATGGGGGGTTCTTGATGAGACATGGTTGAGGAACTAACACAAGTTCTTTCAACTCTTTACTCCAGCGAGGAACTTGCATCGTTGGAAGTACGGT